GCAGGAGTGCACATGTCCGTCCCTCTGCGGTAGCTGATCTGCTATTGTTTGTTTAGCCCAGCTGCACTTGAAATGACAGTGATCCAGAGCAACGGGGGAGGATTAAACAGTCAGATTTAGTAAGGGAAACTGCACCATTCTTCTTTTCTCTTTCATTTTGTTTTATATAAAATATTCTTTGAAAGCAATATTACTATTATCTTTCATAAAGACCCTCTTGGACTCTAATCACCTTACATTCCCACTCTTCTTTACCTTGTCTGTTTTCATCTCCCTTCATCTTACTGTCACTGTCCATGCAAATCATCGTCCAACGCTGCCTTGAGGAGTCAGAGTTTAAGCTGAAGACGTATGATGAGATGAAGGGGGTAACGTCTGCACTTTACTCCTATGACTCCAAGGACAGGAGATTAAATTCACCCCAGCTTGTCAATTCCTTACCTGCCAAGGAAGAAAACCTGTGTGAGTGTGAGTGGGGTAGCATGTTTAGCAGTCCGGTTGTGTCTGCCGGCCAAATTAGGCTGTAGATCACTTTTGACAGGACTCTGGCCGTCATTAGAAATGGGAAAGAGCTTCTTTTTCAGGGTCATGGTCCCGTGGTCGGGTGGTAGAAATGTCCTCCAGCAACAGATGGGTCTGTGGGTGGATATGTGAGAGAGCTGAGGGGCACGAGTTGTCACAGCAATCACAGGGTGAGCTTTTCATGGAGATCTCTTTGGCTTTCAAGTTCTGCGACTCAGATGGCGTTTCCATTTTTGAACAACCACAAGTGGTGGAAAAAAAAATAGATTTCCCTTGAATTCTTGTTGAAACATGGCGCACCATTTGTAATGAGGAACTTTGAAAATGTCAGGAGGAGCTGCTGTGTGCAAAGCTCGGGTTAGAACATTAGCAGCAGGAAAGCCACTGACAGGAGGCTAGGAGGAGTCCTGTCTACCTAAGACCATTTATAGTGGAAGCTTCCACTGCACTTCAACCTGAACACATCATACCCATGGTGAAGTAAGGTGGTGAAAGCATAATGCTGTGGGGAAAGAGGAAAACAGTCAAAATAGATGGAGCTGCATACAGGGGAATCTTGGAAGAATATCAATAAGAGAAAAGAAAAAAACATAAAACAAGAGCTGCAGCTGTCAAGTCAAAACATATTTATTATATTGTCAATATTTTAGGGTGTTTATTGTGATTATAATGTAAATTATGTTTTTATGTAAATGTACCACTTTATACAGTGACATAAACAAAAAAAAACCAAATACTGCACTAAAAGAAATCTTAAATAGAGTTTATTTTTACTCTTTATCAGTCCCTAATGACTTTGTCCAATTATTTATAATTTTATTATTAATTATGTGTAAATAACCAGAGTAAAAGGTTTAAACAGTAAAAGTGGCTTTCCCAGTCATAACATTTTTAGTTATAAACGTGTTCCCAGCCGTTATAAACAAAAGATGACTTATTCTCATAATAAACATTCTTTTTAATCTTCAGGTTTCAGATGTTCTTCTGTTTATCTGATAGAGCTCGAGCCATTTGGCAAAGTTAGAGGGTTAGATTGTGCTTTTACAAACCACAAATATATTGGCAAGGTGCTGCACCAAGAAAAACAAAAGATCCAGAAGACAGGTCTGTAAAAATGAAATATTTTAATTGGTGATTTGATGATTCAGTTTTGCAATCATAAAGAAACAAACCCACAAAGATGCATACATAAGGAGGCAGCGACAACCTGCTCATTAATAAAAAAAAACAAAACAAATCCCTTTCACGCTCCCTTTAAACAGAAGGATGACGCTTTACTGTTCTCACAAAGGAAATAAGGTTAAGACATCAGATAATGAAATATATTTGAGCATACCTTTTTTTCTGGAATGATGTCAGTAAAAAGCTTATTTTTCCTTCCACACAAACACACACACACATACAGACAGTATTTGATTCTGATTATCAGTCAAAAAAAATGGAACGCTTAAAAACAAAAAATAAACCCCCATAGGTGGAGGATGGGTTTCTGCCTTTTGCTCTACAACAAATGTAGAGCGACACATTTTGGACCGGAGCCTAAACCAACACCGATGCAAACCCGGCTCTGATTTACAAGTTATGGGCAAAATGCCTTGAAGCTGCGGCGTTTTCATGTCCCCAGTTGCAGAAAAAGACAATGACGGGAAAGCTGATATGAAAAGGGAGCTTCTCTCCTCCAATATCCGTTTTTCTGTCCCTACGGCATTGCTTTCAAAAATTGTGCAGTTAAAAAAAAAAAAAAAAAGAAGCACACTGGTGATAAATGAGTTCTAATGCTTTGTATGATCCCTTCATTTTTCTCTCCTTTCATTGTGAATCATTCCATATATAAAACAGAGATGATCACACCACTAAGGCAGGATTCTGTAGTGATTAGCTAAAACCAAACTGTCCAAATTTTAAAAAGAAAAAACTGCTTCCACTATCTACATGTAGTTTAAACTACACAGCGGCCCATCTTATTTGCATCGCACTATTGACATCCCTCAGTTTTCTCCCACATTTTCCTTCCAATTTCTCAGCTTAATACCATTAAGAGTCAATCTAGGACAAAGTATTTGTTGCTTTAGGAGAAACAAACACAATAGAAATGAAGATGAGGTTTACTTCACTTTGTTTTTTCTTTTTTTTTTTCCTTAGTTATCATGAGCAGGTTCCAAATCTGATCTCATTTTAAAATACAAGCCAAAAGTTTAATTTTAAGGTAAAACAGCGGCCTGCAAAAGTTTTCACACCCTTTAAAGGTTTACATTTTGCCAAATTAAAAGGACACACTTGTGTGGTGTCTGGGATTTTATGTGATCGTCCAACTCAAAATTAGCTCACTTTTTTCCAACAAATAGTATATCTGAGAAGTGCATTGTTATACAAACTCTTAAATCTGATACTCCAAAAAGCAAACAATCAGATCTTCTCTAGATACCAGAAGAATGTGCTAACAGCTACAATTGGGGGGGGGGGGGGGGGGGGGTTATTGCAAAAGAATGGGAGCAACTATTGGTCCGAAATGTGGCCAACATGTCACATTTTCAGATTTTTAGCCACAAAAGAACTTTAAAAATCACTTTCTCTTCAGAATTAAGCACTGTTTTGTGTTGCTCCTACAATCCCCCAAAAATATATACAAGTTTGCACTAATAATGTGACAAAATGTAAAAATAAAAATACTTTTGCAAGGCACCTTAGCTATAACCTTATCACCCTACGCTTTAATCTAAGATTCACTCAGAATGGGTTTCCTACACCGACATTGTTCAGGGAGAGGATAACTTGCGTCTCCAAATGTATATTTTTTAAAGATATCTCAAGCATCTACTTCCTGCTGTAATTAAGAATACTTGGAGTTGGGGCTAAACCAGCAGCCTGCGGCGTGTCAACATCCAGCCAAACAGTCTGTGGAAAACAGCTCCGGCTGTAACCTCGCTTATCTGTGCAGGTCAACAAGCCGGGGCCCTGTGGGATCATGGGAGCGCCTTTGAAGATACGACCAAGCAGCTGGAAAACAGCTTGTTTTTTTTCTTTTTTCTTTTAAAATAGAGGTTCAAAACCTGGATAAAAAAGTGCAGATCGGTCATATTTTTTTACACAAATATAAATAATTTGAAACTATAGGTATGGGTAACAACCAGAACAAGGAGGCAAGAAAAAGGGCTTGAATTAATTTGATCTGTCTGTAAAAAAAATGTATTAAAAACAAAAAAAGAATTGGTCATGAAAAGAGTTGTTCACAAACATGCTGTCGACCATTCTCACTTTTAACCCAAACACCATTCTCTTTTCCTGTACACACTATTTACACACACATACATACACACTCACACCCACACACAAACTCACAAGTAGTCAAAGAAATTACCGTAGTACAATGCAGACTTAATATCTGGCAATAATTATGTTGACTATGATCCAAGTACATAGAGGCACTGCAACCTCGCCCCGTACGCTCTTTGCACCAGCGAACTGCAGGTCACCAAGGCAACGCTTGCCCTTCCAGAGGATGGGACGGTGGCTTGCATGAGATGGATGCTTTTTACAAAGTAGTCAGGGTTGCAAAAAAAAAAAAACAGGAGGAAAAGAAAAGAAGCTAAAATGCCACCAACACATTAAGAGCTCACATTGCCATGGTGACCAACAGTTCTGCAGCTCCCATTTCAAGCATTTTTTTTTCTTGCCCGAGTTAAGGCTTCCAAAGCGCTTGCTGCTCGCACTGCACGGTTCCTGGCAACAACCTTCCCCCCACCCCTATCTCACCCCGCTGCTTTCGGTTCCTTCGCACCTGTGTGAGATCCGGTTCTTTAATTGGACGTCTTTCTTTGCAGGACTGAGAAAAAAAAAAAAGAATGGGAGAGAAAAAGGCAAAATAATGAACTTGTTAAAGTGACAGGAGCTTTGGGAACCTTTATCAGACACACGGGCGACACCTTTCTTAAAAGAAGCAAGGCTTCAGTAATGGCTATGGTCCATTGTTCGTCAATCCCATCCTTTTCTCGACATATAAAACAATTAAAAAAAACAAAAAATATCTTTTTTTTTTTTTTAGGCAGCAATGTTGGTCTCAGTGTTATTACAATTCGGCTTTTGAACAAAGCATAAAGACCAAAAAAAATAAAAATAAAACAATCTTAAAACACAAAATGAGACAGTTGGAGGACAGTTTGCTCATGAATGAAATGGGTGCTTAATGCAAGCGCAGCGCTTCCACTACATGACTTTCTGCAGTTTTTTTTTTCCCCTGCTCCCTGATACAGTCTCAAACGGTGTCACGCTTATTGTCCTTTTGTTCAGAGCCTTTCCAGTTCCTCTGATGCAGGAATATCCGGAAAGAATAACTGAAATTTCACAGACCTGATTTTTCCTTTTTCTCTGGCTCCCCCCTCCCCACCATCAGAGGAGGCGAAGGATAGGGGAGGAAAAAAGCCGGGATGTTGTCAGCAACTTCTGAAAATGTCCTCCTCTGCTCCTTTGCTTGATGACGGATTCAAAGAAACAAGAAGATGTAGCAGGGTAGGCAAAAAGGGCAGGCAGGCGGCAATAACAACTGGGCAAACCTCAATAATGAGAGTCAATGCAGCGACCAGCCTCCGGTTGCTATAGCAACCTCCCCCCAAAGACTGCGATCCTTCGCGGCCCTGGTCCCAGGTCGTCAGCTTTTTTTGTTTGGGTCTTTTGAAGAAGGCGCCGCTTTCCGCAGATTAGTGTGTGTGAGTATGACTTTACATACGCGTTTCTTTCGTTTGCTCGGGTTCTGTTGCTACCAGCGGTTGATGATCTGGTTCATGTAGTCCTCGGTGGGGAGCCTGGCGCCCGCCTCCTCCGTTCTGCCCCCTTCCTCGCCTTCCTCCCGCTCTTCCCTCTCTATGTCCCCGTCCTCCAGTGTTGATTGTGAGCTGGCCTGCCCGCGGGAGGGCCACAGACCGACGCTCAGGCCGAGGCCCTGGTGGCTCTGCTGTATGTGGTTCTTGATGCGCTGCTGCCGCCGCTCCTGCTGGCGGGTGTACTGGTAGCGCTGCTGGAACAGGTCCTTGGCGTAGTCATAGAGCTCCATGTCCAGCTCGTTCAGCTCCTCGATACGCTGCACCTGGACCGGAGAGACAAGGTTTCCATTGATTACCAAGTTACAGAAAGATCCAACCTTAAAACTGGATGAGGAAAAAAAAAAAAAGTTTGCTTTTAGAGAAAAAGATACTTTAAACCTAACAGGACAAAAGCAGACATTACGTTAAGGATTTATAAGTTTATTTTAATAAACTGCTGTATTAAAACTGCTTTCCCCCCCCTTTCATTTAAATCAATTCTCTAACAAACACAAAAAAAATTCTGCTTCTAATCACAATACGGGATATGCTTGTCTGTTTTGGCCACACATAAAAAGAAATGTGTCTGGAAGCAAATGCTGTGAAAGCAAAATGGTTTCAGTTCCTTCCTGATCTGTTAAAGTAGTCCTGCAGAAGCATTTCTGTTTGGGCTGCTGCATGTTCAAACATGAGCTCCTCCTCCAGCATGGAAGCAGTCTGCAAAAAGCATGTCGACTGAAGGGAGAGAACATGAACGCTTCAGTGACCAAAGCCTTTATTTGGATGGTAACCAAGTAAACAACAAAATAAATGGAAAAACAAAAACAAAAAAGATGGCTGAGCAAAAAAAGCTACTGAAAGTGAATTAAAAATTCATTAAAGCTGGAGTACAAAAGCTTAGAAATAAAAACTCCGGGTGCAACTTCTCTAAGTTAGCCTAAAACTGACAGAAATTAGATTAAATATTAAACTCCTAGTGCAGATTGTTCATCGCTCTGTCCTTAAAACAGGGAGATGCACACAAACTCAGCTATGATGCTCATTTCCAGCTCGGTTAGGCTTTTACTTCAAAAAATGTCTCCTCCGTGAACCTGAACTAGACACTGTGGTTTGCTTCATACTCACTCGTCTGCAAAGATGTTTCCAAGTAAGATTTCAAGTCAGATTTCAAGTCCTTGAAAGGAAACTCAAATCCGACTAAAGAACTCAAATAAAAGCCAAGTTAAAGTAGAACTTCCAAGTCTTTAGTCCCAACTCCAAATCAAGCCTTCCGCCTATAAAAGCCACTTCCAAGGTGAGTCTCTAGTCTTTGAGGGGGAAGAATAAGTACTGAGTTCTTGAAAGACTCGCAATTTTATACCCAAGTCTTTAATATTTAAGGGGAAAGTCCAGGTCACAGCTAAAGTCTCGGCCAGGCAAACCCCAACTATCAAAAGTGGCAAGACCAATCCCAGTCTCAAGTCTATTGTCCTAGGTCCAAGTTAAGGGTAAAGTGGAGAATTTTCACGAATTATTGAAAATAACAGTTTCTTCCCATCCCTACCAGCCTTATTAACAAGGTCCAGAGACCTCTGAGACACTTGACACTGCTTCTCTCCCTCCCCCGTTCAGGACCTATAAGCTACACCAACGTTACGTTAAAGCACAGTCTACTGTGTATATGGTATATAGCTATGTACCATATATTGCATATAGTATATTTTATATTGTATATAGCTATAGATTTGGAATATATATCTATCTATTTTATCTGCACCATCAACACCAACTCAAAATCTTTGTAAGTGCAAACCTACTTGGCAATAAAGTGGATTCTGATTCTCTTCACTTAATAAAAAATGCAGATGCACAACCCTGTACCCACTACCAAGAGGGAATGCCTATTAAACGCACGCGAGAGCGTGCACGAGCCCATTTCTTCTCGTGAAGGCTCTGTTTAAAAGCTGCTGTTTGCATCTCTCATACGAGCTTACTTTCCAAAAGAAGATTTGCAATTTTTCCATAATGTCAGACTCACCAACGGTAAGTGAAAATTGGGACGAGTAAACATATCACCAGAATGATTGACAATTAGGAGGACCACTTATTTTGATGATCCACCCGGAAAAAGAACATCCTTCACTATATCTTTAACCCATTTATCATTTAATAGGGTAAATCTAAAGTCCCCTTCCCACTGGCTCTACTTGTCTTTCTCTATCCCCCAACAATTTTCACATTTCCATCACTGCTTTTTCAGTAGTCTTTCCTTTTTTTTTTAGACCTACTTATCTCTAGTTGTACCAATCGAAAAAAAGCAGTAATGGAAATATTAGAGAACTACTGGTGTCGAGTAGGTGCCTAAGTTGTGATGTTAGTTGTTGAGAGGGAAGTCCAAGTCTAGGCTTGGATTATTTTATTGAAAGTCTGACGTTAAGGTCTTGGTTATCCAGTCTTTTTTCTAAAGTACCATTTAAATGATTCAAGATCAGGGCAAATCCGAGTCAAGCCTAGAGTACTAAACGTGCCAAATCCAAATACAACAACTCCAACCAAAGTTCTTATTTATAGTCTGGAGGGAAAAGTTTACATAAGATTTTTAAATTATTGAGAGAAGTCTCAGTTCTTTTAGCCCAAGTCTTGAGTCTTCTGTGTAAATTAAGTCGGACTAAACCCAGGTCTTAACGCTCTCTGCCTAAATTCAAAGAGAGGCGATCAGAGGTGGAGTGGTGGTCAGAGCAATTATAGCATTACTGCTGTTTGAAGGTTTCAAACAAACATTTGAGCATCAGACGAACAAAATGTGATCAAGAAAAACACTGATTTTACAACAAATAGCTGCAAAAATTAAACACAAGACAGTTTTTGGCTTCTTGCAGGCAGCAGCCCCATTAAATGTACTTTACAAAGTGAATGAAAGAATGACCCAAAACCTGCACAATTTTAGATATCCTGAATTGTAATTTTTAAAATTATTATAGCAATTTAAGCCACAGGAGGATAAACATTTGCCTTAAAAAAGGTAAAGACTTCTAGAGAAAGATCTTGAAAGCACAGAGGGAAAGTGTTTTCAATTAATGTGTGTGAAAGCATACCGAGGCAACATGTTGGGGTCCAAATTTGGAGGTTAAACATGAGGGACGCTGATGCAAAACCCGGTCTTTATCCATCAGTGAGAGGCAATCAAATTATTGAAACATAAAGTTCAATCAAAGAAGCCAAGATGACTACATACAAGGCAGACATGAGAAGGTAGAAGAAATATTGTTCTTTAAAACATGCAGAGGCTGCAGACTCAAACAAAGCTCTCTGAAATTAGATTTCACAGAAATGCTAATTTTAAGAAGTATTTTAACCAGAAAAATACCACACGCAGTTTCCCCTCATGCCCTACCTCAAACCTTTACAATGAGATTATTCCTCCATTTATACGATCCACTGGTCCACCTTTTGAGTCTGGGAGCTGTGCATATATTATTCTCTCCGAGCGGCCCGGTTTGATGTTTAAATCACCACGCCGCTGTGCTCCAGAGGTAGATTTTTTTCTTTCCTTCATTTTTTTTGCAGAGAAATTGAGCTTAAGAACTCCCACACTGGGCCAATCAAAGTGTGAAGAGCTGGTTTGAAGCTGCTGTCTTTTAAACAGCTACAATTATCTCAGTCCATTTCCCTGGAACACCCGACCAGACTATTTACCTTTTGTCTCCCCATACACACGTTTTGTGCATTCATCTCCTTTTCAATTATTTTTTGAATGTTTTTTTTCTGAGAACATATCCTTTTTTTCCCATAAATGAAAGGAATATTTAAAAGGATATATTTTAGCACAGGTTGTTTTGTTATCATGGTGCTGATTAAAACAGGTTTTTCCTTGCTGTCATTTTTATTATGTCTGTGGTACTGACCGTAGCGTTGTCCAGGTCCACTCCTGCAGCCCGGGTGCTGTTGTACTGCATGAAAGGCCTGATGAAGCGTAACCTGAAGGTTCGTTCGAAGAGGAACTGGGTTTTTCTCTGGTACTCTGTGAGCCCGAAGAAGGCCATGTCCCGCAGGTTCTTCTTTGCCGACTCCAGCAGCAGCTGGGCCCTCTTCTTCTCTGGAACCGTTGACATGTTGTAGCAGCCGACCAGGCTCAGGTCGGCCAACATACGGACCTGTTGGTGGAGGAAGAGCAAAAGGAGGTTTATGGGTAATGTTTCTACTTTTCTGCACACACCCCTACAGCATTATGCTCCCACTTCTATGTTTCAAATGGGAGTGTGTTCATGCAATATAAAGGGTTTCCTTTCATACATTATGTATGGAGGCCAAAATGCTAATTTTTATCTCATCTGACCAGAACAGCTTCTTCAACATGTCTGTATTCACTGGAAGGAAACTGGAAACAGCCTCCAATAATTCTTGGCCCCATTTAAACCACTTTGTCCTGATCTTTCCAGCTGAGCTCTGGATCCCTGCAGGGCCTCACCTAATCAATGCTCTCCTCTTCAGTTTAGGTGGATGGCCGTGAGTTTAGATAACCACTACAGGTCCTCTTGCTTATTCATATCTTTTTCTTATCATAGCCTGTATAACATTTGGAATAAAACCTGTTAGACAATAAGTTGTATTATGGAGGCTGGCTGCACTGGATTTGATTTGGAAAGTCAAAGTAAAGGGGGTCTGGAGTTTAAGCACATTTATCCACTTCTCTGTTTTCTGTGGTTTTATTGAAAAGCTTTTGTAGAGCTGGGAAGCTCTTTCAGTGACAAACGGTTTCAGCTTAGAGGCACAAAGAAGCGCATCTGCAGATCTTTCCTTCCTTTCAGGCGCTGTTGGACTTCATAACCTTTCTGCTCTCAATAAAAAAACAAACCCTTTCCTATAATCATATCACCAAAACAGACCTTTGGCATTGTTCTCTAAACTGCCTGATTTTATTCTTTCCTCCTTCAAACTTGAATGTTTCAGTTTTTTTTTATATATAATATTCATTTTCCACTTGAACGATCTCAACCTATTTTATTCCTCTGAGATGTGTTTCTTTTCTCCATCTACAAGAATTTCCCCACTCTGGGATGATGAAGGTATTTCTTATCTTTTAAAAAGGCACTTTATCCTTTATTTCCACTGACTATTACACGCTGCAATGTTTATATCTCAAAACCTCAAGAGAATGCTTTAAGCTTGGTTCTTTGCATGTGTTTGCAGTTGTTTTTTTAGTTAAATCAGATGCATTCAGTTCATATAAAAGTATAGAAAAAAGGGGGAGAAACGGTTGAATCATTTAAACCTTAGGATGGCAGTTTAGCAGACTGTATCAGACACAAATGAACGTCACAGGAGGCTTAGTGAAACCCCCCCCAAGGTCCAGATGAGATAAGCTGGTGGTGAGAAACTGAGACAGCGAGTGAAAAAAAGGTGTGAATTTGCTGTTTTTATGTCCCCGCTGTGTAAAGGTGTGGAAGATTGTGCGTTTTATATATTTTACCACTCTAGCTACAAAATGTTCTTTTTCTGCTTTTCTAAGACATAATCCAACTTTCCTTGAACAGGCTAAATTCATGTTAAACATTTTCAAGTGAAACCAGGTGCAGGCAATAAACATGTAACAAATCCACTGCCCGAAGCTTACCCTGTACTAAACTTTTAGAATGGTTTCAGAGTTTCATTAAGGTTTTCCTGCATACCTGTCTGTTGTTGGCCAGATTGTATGGGCAGTCCATGAACTGCTGCAGAGTGCAGCCCGACCAGTCGGAGCCTTCGTAGCAGGAAGGGAGCTCCTCCGGCGTCGGGGTTCGACCGTCGCACATGTGCAGGGATGTTTTCCATGTGGCTCCCCGCTGCACATGCCTCCACTCGCTGAGGTAGCGGGAAACGGGGTCCCTCAGCAGAGTGATGTAGTAGAACTTCCTGTTCAATAAAAAAAAAGGGGAGTTAGGTAAGCAAAGGAGGAGATTGGTAAGATAGGGGAAAGGGAGAGGGGTAACAAGTAAGAACTAATGTTCTTAGCATAAATCATTGTAGGTAAAGTAATCGACATTTAACGTTCAGACTTCATTTTTAACCCATTTTATGAAAAGAAAAAAAAAAGATTTTTACAGTGGAATAGATCCAGAACAACGGGACAGACAGATGAATAAATGGACTAATGAAAAGGACTGACTAAGATTTGCCACAAATGGACTCTCGGATTGGGTGGGTGGATAAATTAATAGATGGACAGACAGATAACTGGATGGAGAATCGGACACAAATGGATGCGTGAGTTTAAAACAGATGGATGGAAAGATAAAAAGAAAAAAGGATTGACAGACCATTGGAAATGGAGATAGATAATTGAAAATTGAATGTATGGATGGATGAGTGATGCAACACTGATTAAATGTTATAGAGAATAAAGACTCTTTTACCACACTTGTAAATGTCTAGTAAAAAAAAAAAAAAATCTAACATCAAACTTCTCCAGAAAATGAAAATCTTGTTTATTCTGATCATAGAAACAACTAATTAACAGCTAAGAATCAGCTGGTTTAACAAATCAAGTAAAATGCATAGATCCCACACACTGCTGCCACAAAAGCAATTCCACTTTTAATCCATGTGGGGGCACTGTTTGCAAGAGTTTACAGACCAGAAATTCCTCTTACACTATCCTAACTCAAAGTATGAGACTGAGGTCCTCATATGGTATTTTTATTTAGCAGAAACTGCTTTCTGATGCAGGAAAAAAATCAGTGTCTGGAAGACAGGAAGTGGAGGTAAAAATGAGCAGGAAGCGGAGGAGGACAGGGTTGATGTGTAAAGGTGTTTGAGGCCACGGCGTGCGGGAACAGAAACTTGCTGGCACAAGCACCCCTCCCCTCTGCAGCACACATCTCCATGCTGCAAGCCTCTGTGCCTCAAACGCCCCTTCCTCTCGCTCCACACTGGCACCAAATATTACGTCTGCCTCAGAGATGACTCATGCGGCATCTGAGACTCGGATGGGACTCTTTTCTGTGGCGTATGTGTGAGAAGTAATGGCGCATGGCGCAGCTTCAACATCTCTCTGGAGGAGACACTCCCACTTGAGTGGAGACCTTTTCCGGGCCCTAACACTCACGCTAATTACTGCGGTCTAATCAGTCAACACATCCTCATCAGTGCAGAACTCTCACATGCGTGGTTGTGTTTGGGAATGTGCCGAGATAGTGGCACAGATTTCTCTGGGATACGGACGCAGGCCAGGAGGACGCTGCCCTCCGTCCCAGCATGCAATACGTCTGAGGAATGTTTGCAGAGGGAATTTCTCGTGCTGACGGGATTAAATGAAGTCGGTTGGTCCAATAAAGCCCACTCACTCAGCCACACTCATTGCTTTCATCCCTACAGCACCTTGTAAAAAAAATAAAAATTCTTCCATTAAAACCCCCAAACCCAACATATGTTTGATGAGGTATATTACATTTAAAATATGTGAAAAAAAAGATGAAAAAACCTTATAAGTGCAACATTTAACCATTATCAACATCTCTAAGTCAAATCTGCAACACAGGCTAGGGATCTAATATATGAACCTGAAATCAATGTTATCTTTTTATCAGATTTATCAGAAAGCATCTGTGTACCCATCTTCAACTCCTACCACAGATTGCATCAAAGCTGCGTTCCCACAGCAGCCTGAAGTGAACCAATAACATTTTCTCTGCCCATATGTGACCTGTATCTGATCTTTTCAACACGGGTCAGATTGTTTTCAAATGCAACCTATACCGCTTGGCTATGTGGTCCTGCATGCGATACGTATCTGATCTTTTCAAATGCGACCTGTGTCTGAACGGCTAGGTCGCATTCATTCGACCTACATGTCATTGATACTTGACAAACGTCACTAATCTGCGTCCTACTAAGCAGAGGTGGGAAGAAAACGAACAACCATGGCAGTGGAGATAAAGTGATTAATATTTGGGGAAATACGATACGTATGCCGTCATCGCATCCCCTACTGCGCATGCAGGACACTTAATTGGTATCGATGCAGTTCACTATGGAGATCACATACAAGTTGCATATATTTAGAAATGTGAACGGACATGCAAAAAAAAACTGATTTCACAAAAAAAATAAGAATTGAGCGTCGAGTTCTGCAGTGTGAACATAGCCTTTGATTTGGACTTTGACCAGGCCTTTATAGGCCTTTATGTTATGATAATCCATAGTGGATTATCATAACAACAGTCCTCTCTTAGCTGTTCTTTAACAAGGAGCAAATCCAAGGTGTGCATAGCTGAATTTAATTATACCTACTGATTCTCTGCAGCTCCTCCACACTAACCTTTGGCTTCTGCTAATGTAATCCTGGGATATTGTTTCAAACTCCAAACCTTTAAACAACCTCATCCCTGATCGATGTTCATTGATCTTCATGATGATTTATACTCTATATGAAATTACGCCATTCACCCAAGGTGAGCAGCTGGCTACACTGGATTTCATATAAGAATGTTAGAACAGAGAGGGCTGGGAATGCATGTCTCACTTGCAAGTTTAGAAAATATTTGAAAACCATTAGTCTTTACTCCACATGAATATCTTTCTGTTGATCCATGCCATAAAACCCCAATAAACCACGCTCAGATTTATTGTGGTTAAGTGATGAAATGTGAAGAGTTTAAGAGCTTGTCAAATTTGGGCCAGAGAAAAGAGTGACAAGGCAGCGGTAGCAGTTTTCAATACAAAAATGGATAAAAAAGGAAAACTGAATAAATCTAGCACCAGTTAGGAGATCCTGGTCAGTTTCCTCTCTGAGCCATAGCAACATAAAGACCCCAATCTGATTTGGCGTCAGAGCAGGCTTGAATCCCACAAATGAAACAAATGAAGGAGCAGCAGGGGGATCATGGACAATAAAACGGCTAAAGCTTCAATCCGGCGGCAGCTGGGAGATCCGGGACAGCTAACCCGGACAGACCTTCAATCTGCAACCATAGACGTGAGTTTTCAAACTCGAAATCCCATCAACTCAACCCTAGAATCTCATCCACCCCCTTTCAGTTAATATCTAATAAAAAACAACCACAAAAAAACAACAAAAAACAGGCGAACTGGAGCCTGCAGGAGAGCAGGGATACATTATGGAGATTCCTATGATGACATTATCAGCATTCTTAACACTCCCCAGAGTGCTGTGCGTGTTTGAGTGCCAGCTCATGAGCCTGCTGTGGGTTTCTGAGCAAGAATACGCCTATTAAATCAGTGATGACATTTCCCCCCTCTTGGCTCCCATTCCACGAAAAAAAAAAATCATGGTGCTGTTTGGGGCTCGCTACACGGACTGAAAGAGAGAGAGAGAGAGAGAATGAAGGAAAGGGTAAAAAACAGAAACGAAGACAGGAAGAAGAAAAAGTAAGAAGGAGGCGGCAGAAGAGAATTTCAATTAGTTTTTTTCTAATACTGTGAAAGCAGTGAGGGCCCCGAGCCCAAGTGATTTATCAAAGTTATGGCTCTCACTATAATGAAGGCTCAGGCATATTACCACATAAAAATAAATAAAAAAAATGCATGCAAACTTCCTGACGCACACACAAAAGCACGCAAGTCTCCCTGTCCTGTCTGCTGGGTCAGACAGATAACCGGTGTTGGGGAGGCTCTCTCGCCTGGGAAAGATCTAAATGTCTGGCCTTGGACTTAGATCCCCTCCTAATGAGGTTTTAACCCACAAACATCCACTGGCTCACCAGGAAAGTCTGCTCCCAATCACTCATACACACACCCCGCCTGCTCCAAAGGCGGCGGAGCATTACTGCGGATATTTTACCACCACGACAGGTGATCTTGCTTGTCAATTTAACCTCAAAGCTAATGCGAAGCACTCACTCGGGTCTCACTGTACACATTTAAGAACATCATCGTCTGGTAGAGCAGGGGGGTGGGGGGGGGGAATCTGCAGTCGGGGCACAGCACCCTGTATCGGCCTCTCCCAGACTATATTTACGTGCCACGCATTTTTCATTACGACTGCCACGGGAGGCGGGGGGTGAGAAAAAAAAATGAATTAATAATATACATGGAGTAACACAGCAGCTTAAAACATCACCTATCAAATATCAAAAGAGCGCATTCATTGGCTAATTAATTCATCCAATCAGACTAATTGTGTGTGGAGGAAACAAAATCAAATCCTGGGTTAGGTGTGATGAGGCTAATGACTGGAGCACTGCCAAGCTGAAGCCCAACACACAGCTGTTCCGTCTTTTGTTTCCATTTTCTCTTGTTGATACTTGTTAATGAATTCAACACCAAGGCTGTGAGCATGTGAGGAGGCCAGCTAGCTGTCTGACTGGCAATAACAAACAGCAAAATAGAAATAGGACCAAAGAATTATATTTAAAAAAGCTATTTTTTATTTTCTTTGGTTTCTTCATTCATGTGGGGTTTTTTTTTCTTTGCCCCACTTTCCTCACCATTACAAATCGCGGAAAAGAAGAGAGAATGAGTTGCCTCTATGCGTAGATTTTTGCATCATCAAGATAATTAAATAGCAGGAAAACAACATTTTATGTTGTTCAAAGTGCAAGTCATTCTGTGTAAAAACAAAACCACCTGACAAATTTGTAAAAAATGCCACCTTAGTAGCCTGATAAATAAGACTAAATGGGAGATTAAATGTGTAATTTAGTCTGGCCCCGATGACTGGGACATCGGGAGATTGTTGATGAGAACAACCAGTTGTTTTTCAAACCATGTCTGTGCCTATTGGCCAACGCTCTGACCAATGAGCGCAACTGACTGTGACGTAGAAAGCGCGACAAGAAGCTGGTGGGGGAGTGTTAAACAGCATGTCGGTAAAATGGCGAATAAGTCTTTTTTAAAAATTAATGAGTGTAGAGCCTCTTCCTGCTACCAGCTGAGTCAAACTAGAACTGTTCAAT